CCAGAGAAGGAGACTCCACAACCTCCCTGGGCAGCCTGTTCCAGTGCTCCGTCACCCTCAGAGGGAAGAAGTTCTTCCTCGTGTTCAGACGGAGCTTCCTGTGCCTCAGTTTGTGCCCGTTGCCCCTTGTCCTGTCACTGGGCACCACTGGAAAGAGTCTGGCCCCGTCCTCCTGACACCCCCCCTGCAGATATTTATAAGCATTTATAAGGTCCCCTCGCAGCCTTCTCTTCTCCAGGCTGAACAAGCCCAGTTCCCTCAACCTCTCCTCGTAGTCGAGACCTTCGCGGTGCTGTGAGGGATCTCCTGGTGAGAGAGGTGCTCTGCCCCTTCCCGTGTTCTCCTTGGTGGGCAGAGGAGGGCTGGGTTTCCCTCCTGGGAAGGGCCCTGTTGGCGGGGGCAGAGCCAGCTGCTGCTGCCTGCTCGCTCTTTTCCCCGGGCTCCGTAAACCCCGTTGTTTCACTTTGTTAAAGGAAAGGTTTCACATTATTTTTGTAGTAGTTGGACTCCAAGAAAAGCGCTGATCAATGAGCTCTTTTTGTTTAATTGTTGCCGTTTTGGGGAGTAGTGTCCGTGTCCGTGACGGTTTCCACACCTGCTGCCTTTCCTGCGTAGGTGCCCGGGCGTTGCGCTTCTTGTCGCTGAACGCAGTCTTCGCCATTCCGGGCTGTTCCCGTTTTACAGACGTCTCCTGGCCCCGGGAAGCACCTGCAGCTCTCCCCAGCTCGGGCAGAGGTGCAGGGCCTGTTCCAGCGCTGCCGGCAGCCATCCAGGCAGCCCCGTCCTGCCCGCAAAGCCCGTCCCACCACGGTCCCCCGGGCCAAAAACTCCCCCTCGTTCGCCCCTTCGCTGCCGTCTGCCTTACTGGCTTCACGGTACAATTCCCAATGAAAGCTAATTAGCGTCGTCTGCCCTTCCCAGGGTGTTGTCTCCCACATTGCCCTGGGCGGCAGGCCCTCCTCTCCAGTCCATAAATAAATACCCGGCATGGCCAGCCGTTCGCGATGGCCTTGCCTAGCTCGGCTCCTGCGGAAAGGGGCCACCTCTTCATTTCTTGGCAAGGCTTTGGAAGCGATGCTGGGGTCCAGCCAGATTCGGGTACCCCCGCGTGCATCCTGTGCTCCGGTGCCGCGTCCCCGCGCCGCTGACCACCCTCTTCTCTTCTTTACAGCCGAGTCCTTCAAGGAGTTCGCAGAGCTGCTCCACGAGGTAGAGCTGGAGAGGTCCATGATGGTAAGATGATCTGAGCTGTGCTCTGGTAACGACTGCCTCATCACAATGGTTAAATGCTAAATCACAGCCAAATGGCATCACATTCCCTGGTGTGAAGTTTCCCGTCGGAGGGAAGCTGGGAGCACTGGGAACGTTGTGCATTGTACCACGTCTGGCCCACGGTGCCATCGCCACAGGCTCTGAGCAGCAGAGGGGACGGGGAGAGGTGGTCCCACGCAGTGTCCCACACCTCGCCATGTGCCGGGCAGCCGTGGAGCCCCAGGGCCTGCTGGCTGCAGCGGGTTTGCTCGGCGGAGCCAGGTGTGTCTGAGCTGGTAACAAGCTGGTTTTGTGGTGAAACAAAATGTTAAAGGCTAAGCAGCGAGATGTATTTCTGGCTTCGTTTTGCCGGGTGCGAGCACCCGGGTCCCCCTGTGCGGCTGCCCGTGCCGGCACAGCTCCCACGGGGCGATGAGCTGCCTTCAGTCCCCCGCCGTGTTCTGCCCCCGACCTCGCCAGAGCTCCTCCAGAGCGAGCATTGGCTTCCCCTTTCACTCCGAATTCCAGGAAAAACACGAAGGTTAGGCTCGGTAGAGAGCCAGGAATGTGCTGCTTGGCTCTGCTTTCCTCTGCCTCGTGCGGCGGCGGGAGCTGGTGCCAGGCTGCCGGCTGGGCCAGCGCGGCAGGGGTGGCTGTGCCGGCGGGACGTC